ATGGTATAGGTAATTATTAAGGCCCTGATGTTAAAATCGGGTTTAGGGCTTCGGGCTTTTGAACTGTAGGCTTTGGGCTCCGGAGCTCACGAAACCCTCAAGCCTAAACCTCAAAACGCAAACCCCTGCCCAAATTCGAGCCTCAACCCAAACCTTCAAAAAACAAACGCCCTAAGCCCTGTAGAGTTACCATTAATATACGCCAAAAGATGGGTATCTTTAATGTATAGCCAAGGTCTCGGTAAGCCCAAAAATCCTCAAACTCCTCGAATCCGGGCCTGAACGAAAAAGAGTCGGAACCCTAAACCGTGAACCCTGAACCCCTCAACTCGCGCCTCACGGGAAGAGAATCGGACCTACTGATGCTCTGCAGGATTTTCTGCGGGTCCTTCTCGTATTTTTGCTCGAAGTCCTCTGAAACAGCTGGCAAACTCTTCGGGTTCAGGGATGTTTCGGATTGAAGGTTTAGGGTTTAGGGATACTGAGGGTTTAGAGTTTAGGGATATTTTGGGAACCTCAACCGTCTGGTCCGTCTTGGCCTATTTAGGGTTTAGGGTTTACACTGAAGTCCCCCTAGAACTTTATTGCTATCGGCAGAATGCACGAATCCTTTTTCATACTTGAGCCCACGAGTAGCAGCAGAGAATGCGAATATGGTACACGACATACGTACAAATAAAATGCAAAAGCAACCTTACCTCAAACCAAAACTCGCGCCCTGTACCCTAAACCCTAAATCCTAAGCTAACACTTAACCTCTATCTAAACCCTAAGTCCTAATCCCTAAACCCTAAATCCTAAGCCCAAATCTAACACCTAAACCCTTTTCTAAACCCTGAGCTAAACCCCAAGCCCTGCATGTGCCCTAAGCCTGTATGAAACGCTAAATCCTAAACTCTAATTCTAAGCCCTGAGCCCTAAATCCTTATCTCTAATCCCCGCGCATCCCGAAGCTCACTTCTCCAGAAGCCCAGCATCTCATAAGCATCTGGGTTCGGTTTGTAGGGCTTCAGGGTTTGGGGGTTTACCCCTGGACCCTTAGCCCTCAACCCGAAACCCGGTGCGGGCCCTAAACCCTAAACCCTAAATCGTGGCTCTGTCCTGAATGCTGCGGAACTTCTCCTTGTCATAGCTTCCTTTCGAAAAGATGCCCACGAGACGGAAACCCTGCACCTTGTAGTCCTGTGCCTGGGGATGTGACATTGCTCCTACGGTTATGGTTAAGGGTTAAGGGTTAAGGGTTTAGGGTCAAGGGTTTATAAGGTTTAGGGCTGCAGTGGTTTTCCTTGTGAAGGCTCGTTCAGGGAAGGTCGCATATGACCTCTGCTCACGACGACATGACGATGAAGGTGCCGCTGATGGTGACGGTGTCGAACAAGAATAACATGACGAGCATGAGGATGGCTACTGACATCCAATGGCTACATTGACTGCGATGGCCAACAAAGATTGTACGTGTGTACTGATACTTGCTTCCGGTCCAGCAAGGATGGCATAAAGGATACTCTCGTTAATCTCAGCCTGCTCTGCCTATGGTGAATGGCAATAAGATGGCCCTTGCAGTCGCAACTGCTGCGCCAAACGCGACGGTGTTGAAGCATCGCGAGCTAACGAGTTTGAGGGTTTTAGGAAGGGGATTTATCTCTTAGAGTTTAGCACAAGCCGCTTCCTCCTGCAGGTTGTTGCGGCAGGACTGCATCATGCAACTCGAGTTGGTTGTTGTAGCTGACAAGGAGTGTTATGAAGGGAATCCTTTTCATCACGTTGCGTAACAACCCCACAAAGTTCACCAGTTTCGCTTGCTAATTGTTTAGTTTGTCAGAACTCCAGCTAAAACGTGATAGAGCCCAAAACCTTGGTTTGATCATTCAAGCTCTTATACTAGCTTGAGCGGTTGCTCTTTTGGGTTTAGAGCTCATCGTCCTGACGTTTGGGTGTACAGCCAAAAGGCTAAAATATAATGAGGTCAGACTTTGAGGAACCTGCTAAACCAAAAAACCCTAAACCCTTTAAAGGAACCCTAAACCCTAAACCCTTTAAAGGAACCCTAAACCCTATTCCCTTTAAAGGAACCCTAAACCCCAAACTGGTCAAGGCTAGGGCTTCGGCTTTAAAGGGCCCGCACTTCGAAAAAAAAAAATGCTGCAAAAAACGGGGCCGGGGATGCCACTGAGTCGGGTTCCACGTAGTCTACGTAGTAGTGCATCATTCCATCTGGATAGAAGGGCTCAACTGCTCGAAGCCCAATCTCCTGCAGAGTCCAAGGCACGGAGTCGAAGATGGGGGCTTCTGGGGACGTTTTAATGATTAGAAAAGGGGTTTGGGCATTAATATATATTTGGGTATTATTATATATTTGCGTATTATTATATATATTTGGGTATTATTATATAGTATAGCAATTCCCTACAAAGAAGCTTTAATTCTATTGCTAAGTACTTCCGACCCTCCAGTCGGAAACCTCACATTGGGGTTTCCAGAGCAGACTTATCGGAGTCCTTACGGGTCCACGGAGCACGAGTTCTTGCAGATCTGTAACATCTCCACATGCAGCAGAGCTACGCCATTATGTTGTTGATGGGAAAGAGTCGGATGACCACGGATGCTCTGAACCTTAAACCCTAACAAGAACCCGACTCTTAAGGATGTTGCAACTTGCAAATGGGAGTGACATCTCCTTGGCAATGTCCACGCTCTCATCGTCGTTCCCTGGTCTCTTCTCGTAGAGAACGTTGCGGATCTTTGGCTTCGTAGCCCGCTTGTCGCGAAGACGTGCTACCTGCGGTCCACTTCTTCACACTGTCGAAATCATAGTTCGTGTTTCTGCTTGTCTTTAGCATTGCATTTAGATTCACACTCCCTCACATCCTCTCACTCACACACTCTCTCTCTCTCTCTCTCTCTCTCCATACACACATATACATGTACATATTCATACTCATATACATATACATCTACATATACACGCATATATATATATATATATCTTTCTATATATATATATACATATACACATACATGCATGCATGCATGCATACATACATACATACAAATACATAACATAACATAACATAACATAACACAACATAACATAACATAACATAACATAACATAACATAACATAACTAACATATATACATGAATACATTCATACATTCATACATTCATACATACATACATACATACATCATACATATACAACATATATATATATATGTTTATTTATTTATATGTGAGTGATATATATATATATACACATATATTTATACACATTGGGCATATGCCCTAACATGCATATACATGGTTATATATATACATACATATACATATACATAATCTAGTATATATCTGTATATATGCGCAGGCTATAGAGAAGGTTGTCAGTATTTGGACTTGTTGCTGTCGCGGTGACGGGCGTTGAATGCCTCATGCGTGCGCACACTTGTGCATGTATATGCTTCCTTGTCCCAACCCTTAGGCTGCATGAAACTTACACCATATACGCTAGGGCTTTAGTTTTGCCTCCAAAAACACTGCCGCGAATGACCTTACTTCACATGCATGCATAGCTGAGCGAATCACCAAGGGGTCCATGAGGCGGTTATCCGCGATGCAACTCTGCACGGCATGTATGTATGTATACATACATACATACATACATACGTACATACATACATACATACATACATACATACAGTATATACACACACTTTTTCAGCAAACGTCAACAAATAAATGCATATACATACGTAACTAACATCCCAGTGAGTCTTGGGGTTTGGGCATGCAGAGCTCTGCTGCATGAGCCCCTGAACGGAAAAATACGCTCTTCTCTTATCCCTATACATCCTTAGATTGAGAATCTGTCGGTTGCATATCTACAGTAATTATGGCAGGATTCACCGCCGAGTAGGAACAGCACTGCACGACCGTGAGGCTGCTTACATCTTTAAGAGGTGATCAACAGCATCATCGAAGGCGCAGGTGGATTCCAGTAGAGGTAACTCTATCAATGCAATACTGATACGCAGACACATAGTGTCATAGTGTCACATATCACTAGTATGAAGAGAGAAACGAACGACAGCAACACAGCAGCAGCAGTTTATAGTGATGAAATGAAGATGGCGGTAAAAATAATAATAATAATAACAATAAATAACCATAATGAACGGTACAATCCTCACACTACCAAACCGTTTGGAGACCTGCGGCCTGTTCATAGTCCACTGTCTTGCTGGCGGCTTGAGTGCCGAAGAAGATCTGCTGCAAGGAAATGAGGCGGCTTCGGATGCTCGCACTGAGGTGCAACAGGGCACTCTTCACCTTTGATTGGGAGACAACGAGGCGAATTCCAAGACGGTCGAGTTTTGGATTCCAAAGTCTGCTCAATTCTGGGAACCCTCTTTCATCCCTACTCAACGCCTTTTGAGCCCCTGCTGGGTCGTCCTGAACGCAGGCTGGTTTTTAAGGTGTTGCGTTGATCTCCCTGGCCGCCGCAATCTGCAATCAACGACTATTGCTCAGTCGGGCTACTCATGTCAAAACGATACCGATGGCTGTTGTCATACTGAAGCTACATAAACCTAACTTACTAGTTAATGGTACACGTGAAAATCAATCAGTAGGTTGCCGACTCGTGCGCAAACAGCGCAGACTCAAAGATCATCTTGCAGCTATGTCGCAGAGCGGAATATTCGCCGCAGAGGTGTTTCTACCTGTTCAGAGTCGGCATGCCTCTTGCGCACCTTCATGTAACCCACGACCAAGATTGCGAGCAAGAACTGCTGAAAGATCAGGAAGAAGAAGTGGAAGAAGAGGAAGTAAGCATCGCCGAAGTCCCCATCTGCAGAGATGATGGTTGGGTAGTTGGACTTTCCCCGTATCATCTCCACCACCGTGAGGATGCTGTGTGGCATAGAGCCAAATTCCCCAACCTTGGCGCTGGGGGCTTTTCAGATGAAGGTTCTTGGGCAGCGAACGAGCAAAACAATAGTGTCACAGCGCTTCGAAAACTGCTCAAACCGCACGCAAATTACGACGGCTGCTCAAATATAGAACTTTACAGAACTATATCCAAGCTAAGATTAATATAACCGAAAGTGCGTGGAATGGTGATGACAACGGTGAGTTCGTTGATGGCAGTTAACAGTGAACTGGATGAAGGTACTGTATGATGACGGCGGTGATGATGATGTTGGTGATAAGATTGCTGCTGACGATCTTGTTGATGCCCATAAACCTCAACTTGATCAGGCAGTGGGGTGACAATGACAATGATATTGAGCTGCAGCTTCCGTTATTCGCGATGATGATGTTGATGATGGTGGGAGGCTGGTGAGGACACCGGATAAGACTGGGCAGGCAAACCCACATGAGAAAAAATATGGTCGTCAGGATGATAGCAGCGACACCGATGACTGCAACTCTTTGGTTGTTGATGATGACGCATCCGGTTTAGGTGCAGCCATCTGGAGGCATCCAAGTTTTGAGCACGGGCTGACAATTAACACTTAATTGCAAAAGAAGAACCACTGTCACCATTGAAAGGACGCTCGAGGCAGAACTCCCTCCAAGGAATGCTCAGAAAAGTGGAAGAACTGCGATGGCCTCCAAGGTGGCTTTGCCAGCTGAGGCCCTTCCACAACACTGAACTTTAGCCCCAATTTGAAGCCCTGAATCCTTCGCAAGAGCACAAGTTTCCCAAACCTCAAAGGAACCGCCAGGACACCTTCCAGCCCAGGGCAAACATGCCCCCCAAGCCGAAACCAAGAACCATGATAAAGAAGGCCACGATGAAGGCAGCCAAGTGTTCCTGTGGCTTCTTGCGTAGCCGTCTCTTCGGGGTGGGGATGACGACTCTTGCGGGGTTTAGGAAATCCTAAACCCCAAACCCTAAACCCTTGGCAGGGAGAAAGGCATCACAGATTCTGACAGCTCCGAAAAAATGCTTGCAGGAAACCGCGACTTGGCCTGAAAGTACCAGCTGAACATCGGTAGCCTACGGCTTCATGTACCTATATAGTATGTACACTGACTCTCAAGTCGCTATATATTGATTGTAGGAAGCTGAACTAAAATTATGAACACGTAGATCTGCGGACTTAGCTCAGGGTTTGGGGAGGTATAAAATCAGTGGCCAAGCAATCCATAGCCTTTCGGCAATATAGGAACCTTTCGCATTCTGGTAACAATAGGGTTTGTGGAAAAACGGAGCGCAAAACACAGCACAACCATACAAGGACCCTGAGTAGAAGGAGATATTGATCTACTGAATATTCAGAGAACTAAACCAAAAGTCATGACTTCATGAGACGACTTCATACTACAAGCAGACATGCACAATCCTACACCCTAGGGCAATGATCTAAACGAAACACTACACCCCGCATGAGGTCCCTCCCCAAACCCACTTAAACGCTGAGCCCTAAACCCAAATGCCGAAACACGTAAAATCCCAAAAAGCTAAACCATAACAATCCGTCGTTCCGGTTTAGGGTTTAGGGGTTTAGGGATTTAGGGTTTCATCAAAGATCAAGGCAAACTCTCGACGATCGGAGAACTCCATGGTGGAATGTGGGCTGTTGCAAGGAGTTGCAGATGCTGAGTGTCGTGGGCTTAGGGCTTGGGCCCTAACCCCTAAACCCTAACTTTGGGCTCACACTTCCCTAAAGCCTATAGCCTTAAAATGGGGCCCTGAAAATCTAAGCACCAGCTTTGGGTTCAGATTTTGCATGGGACTTCGGGAGCTTGTAAAGACATTCGTCGCGCATCCCGAACCTCAGACCTTAACCCTAAAGCCCTAGGCCCTAAACCTTATCCCCTAAGCCCTAAACCCCTACATCATATAAATCCTAAACTTAAAGCCCCGAGCTAGTTAAGAAGGTCCGTGCCTTCACGACGCCCATGGAGTGCACCAGGAGCTGCAACTGCGGAAGGACTGCGCAGCACTCTGCGATAGCCTGCACGAGCCCGGCATCCGTAACGAAACCCAGAGTCCCAGGGAGGGACTTTCCGAAAATTCGGGGTACGTACCTTATTTTGGGGTCCTTATAGCAGGGATCCTACGATTTTAGGGTACTATATCAGGGCCCCCTACTTTTCGGAAGCCTCCGAGTTGGTTTAGGGTTTTGAGATTATACCCCTGGCTCCTTTTTGGGATGACCTTAGAGGATTCCAAACATGAACCACAAAAAGGAACTACTATGAAGCCTAACGGTATAGGTTTAAGGGTTTATGGGGCTTTGGGGATTTCGAGATGGTTTAGGGTTTAAGGTCTAGGGATTGGGTCAAAACAACAAACACTTCAAGGTGTTCCCTTCAGGGTTTGGCGAACAACCGGTCGTGAGTGATGTGGCGGACCGCTTCGCGTCGTTTGTCGCAGAGGGACATAGAATCTAATTGTGGTTCTTTTGGGCACGCTCTGCTGTGGCAGCTCTGGTTTACAATTTCACTGGTCCAAAATAGCTCCAAATGGCACTGAGGTCAGCTCCCATTCTTGTTCGCTCGGATCTTCTTTAATTCTTTGCAGGAAATGCATTCCCCGAATGGCCCCTGCTCTGCAAGGATTGTTGGAACAACCCTCCTATCGTCCTATCGTGCTTCAGGTCGAGGACATGGAACCCACGCTTTGCTGCAAGCACCTGGGGAAAATCCGAAAGCCTAAACCCCCTCTAAACCCCAAGCCCTAAACCCTAAATGGCCCTAAAGCCCCTTAAACCCTAGACCCTAAACCCAAAGCTATCAACTTCACAGTCTGCCCTGAAGCGTATGCCTAGACTTTGTACCCTAGGTTTAGGGTCTGGGGTTTAGGGGTTGAGGTTTGGGGTTTAGGGTTGTGTTTGGGGTTTAGGGTCTTGGCGTTTTGGCGTTTAGGGTCTTGGGGTTTAGAGTTTTCGGGTTTCCTCAAACCTCCTTTTCCAAAACCAGACTCCTCTAAAACCCACCCTAAACCCTAATCCCTAAACCCCTAAACCCAAAACCCCTAAAACCTGAACCCTATAAACCCTGCAAGCCCTAAACCCTAAACCCTCCTACCCTAAACCCTCCTAAACCAAAAGCCCTGAAACCCAGGAGAGCCTGAACGAACAGCAGACACGTGGTGACAGACACCGCCACCTTGAGATCTTCGTTGTTCATCGTCAGCTCCTTTGAGATATGAGGGTTTAGGGGGTTTAGGGGGTTGAGGGTTTAGGGGGTTTAGGGTTTAAATTTGAGGTTGAGGGCTTTAGGGGGCTTCGAGGGTTCCCGATTGAGGGTTTGGGGTTCTGCCTTTCCTATATATATATATATACTTCTGCAAGTACGAGAAGCCCTAAACCCTAAACATACGGTCTGCTGAAGGCCAGGGCCAGTTCTTGTCTGATCCCTTTCCCATTAGACTGAGACTCATTTCGTTAGGGAGACTATATAAACCCTAAACCCTACTGTAAACCCTTAACCGGGTTTAGGGTTTAGGGTTTGGGGCCTCACTATAAGGGTTCGCCAAGTGCGACTATGAAGGTTGCTGTAAGCTTTCTAAACGGGCCACGGCCAATAAGACCAACAAAAATCGAAGTCTCATGCTCAAAAAGGAAACCTAAGCCCGAAACACCAACTGCAAACCCATGACCCCTCAACCGCACGTCAATTCTACGCCCGAAACAGTGACCCCACATGCCTACGCCCCAAGACACCCCAGCCCCCAGTTCGCCTTAAGGCGCTGAAGCCCTAAACCCTTGAAGCCCATCCCCAACGGCCTAAACTGGGCCTAAGCCCTAAAAACGCTAAAAAAAAAAAAACAACCACCAAAAAGAACCCTGAACCACCAAATCCCCAAAACCTCCAAGCCCCCCTTCCAAGGTATCCCTCGGAATGCTTAAGATGAAGGCTCTGCCACTTCTTGAAAGTCGGAGGGCTTCATTGGCAGTCGGAAGTTCCTGGCCATCTATGCCCCACCCATAGGCCCCTTAGTAGTTCCTTTTTGGGATTACCTTATAGGATTCTAAATGTAAACCATAAAAAGGGCACTACTTAGGGGCCTAATGGGTACACCCTCAACCCTAAAGCCTAACTAATAACCCGCAGCCCCCCCAAATCGCAAACCCTAAACCCCGAACACCAGAACCCAAAAAGAATATCCCCTAAACTGCTAAATACCCCTATAATACCCCTAAACCCCCTATAAACCCTTTTGACAACAATGAGTTCCTCATATCTTCGGAAGCTTCCAGATCAGGCTCCGGGTTGAGGGCTTAGGGCTTTAGGGGTTTAGGGGTTTAGGGCTTTAGGGGCTTAGGGTTTTAGGGTTTTGGGGGTTTTAGGGTTTCAGGGTTCAGGGCTTAGGGAGCAGGACCCCCCAATAGTGGATATTCAGGGTATATTAGAGGGTAGCCGGGGGGGTCTAGGTTTATGTTTTAGGGTTTCGGGTTTAGAGGCTGGGATTTGAAGGCTTTAGGGTTGATTATGACTGGATTTAGTTTTTTTCTGGGCTTATGACTAGAGGATTGAGGGTCGAGTTGAACTTTGCGGCTTACGGCATGGACCTATCATTGGCTTTCAGTTACTTGTCAGGCAAAGGCACAGGAACATGTATGAGAAGACGATGGTGAAGTACTGCACGATGCAGTAGAAGCAAAGGCAGAAGAGGGCCAGCTTGATGTAGCCCATTGGCTCAGAAAGATAGGCCCGGTAGTCAGCCGAAATATCTTCAATCTGCGCACGCAAGAAGAAGACAAAGCACACGATAATGACAAGGTAGAGGGCGAAGAGAAAGTAGGTTGGAACTGCGTTCAGGTCGTGGATGTTGAACGCGAGACTGCTGACAAGGACCTGTGTCTCCGTCTTTCCGCTGAAGTCATGCTCGAAAACAAAGGCCGTGTGCAGCAGGCGCTCCACGTTGCCGTTCCATACTAGAAGCTCCACAACCAAGGACCCCTGCTTGAGATTGAACCAGCCATTCCGCCTCAACGCTGCAATCTTGTTCAAGATGACATGCTTGGGCTCATCGAAGTTCAGCATCTCAACAAAACCCCCGACTCTCCTGAAACCTGCATCCTTCGCGTAGTTGTAGACAGTGTCCGTCCCAAATGAGGCTGTGTCCTCTTCGGCAGATCTGAACTGGAAGGCATCTGTCTTGCGGTAGGACATGACCTATAGTCTCCAATTGTAGTTCCTTTTGGGGGGTTACCTTTTTCCCTAATATAAAATTTACCTTTTAGGTTCCTGAATATAAACAAAAAAAGGAACTACAATGGAGACTGTAGGGACTTTTGGATAGGCATTCGAGAAGATGGGCGAAGTTGATGTCGCCAACTTCCGCCGCTTGAGGGACAGTCGGCCTCATCATATCTGCCAGTTTAGGGCTCCAGCTACTTAAATAGTAGGTTACTGGGGTACATAATATGGTTAGTAACCTACTATTTAGGTAACTGGGGCCCTAGGGTTAGGTTACAGATGAATGACGACGGTCATCGCAATAGTCGCGATTTGTTCTAACACCGTTGTAGCGGCAGCTATCGTTGTAGCAGTAGCTCCAATCATCTTTGTGTCAACGTACTTACAGTGGCACCGGCAGCGTTGTTCGCATAAGTGTTAGAGGCAGCAACAACATGCGCAACAGTAGACGAAGCAATAGTCGCCGTCGTCGTCGTCGTCGTCGCATAATCACTTGTATCTGAGTAGTCGCACTAGCAGCAGTGGCAAGAGTAGGCGTCGTCGAGATATCCCAGGCCTCACAGCGACTGCTGTTCCACCACTAGCAGCCGCACTCTTATACTCTTGAGATCGCGCTGCCAAGTTTGAGAGGTTTTTCCAAGACAAGCCGGGCTGATGCGAAGCTTTCTATAAGCACTCTGAAGTTCCACGCCGCGTTAAGATATGTAGTAGCCAGGAAAGTCTATGCAAATGCGTAAACATGTTAACCTCCTCCGAGACGCCCATAAGGACCAGGTTGAAGCGTCCAACCATGAGACCGCGCTTCCCCTGCCTCCCAACCCTTTCTGGGCAAAAGGTGTAGTTTTCCGGAACAGAATCAGGCGGATCATCGTCTTTCCACCTTGGGAGCTGGGCTGCTTGGGCTTTCGAAACTCTCAAGGCCCTTAACCGTAAACCTTCCCAACGCTTGTGCTCAGTGCTGCCAGTGCTGTAACAATGAGATGTTGATACGACACAGGAAAGATCCTCTCAATCTAGCCGGGAGCCACTCAGCTAAACGCAACGACTGAAGAGTGAGCTCTGTAGCGCTCAATCGCGTTCACCGAATACTGACACCCAGAGCCTTTCATAATCCTGTCCCAGGCACTGCGGCAGCAGATACAGCCA